ATTGAGCCCACTTCTTTCGTTGACTCGTAGAATCCCCCCGGTATTGCCCCCGGTGATCATGAGGATGTGGCGCTTCTTTTCTTGGTACCGGGGGTACTCCTCCTCTTCTTCCAGGTTCCCAATCTCCCTCTTCTTGCCGAGGGGGATGGTGTTGGGGTTTACCCACGCGTTTGCTCTCGCAGGGTGCCCTCGAGGTGGCCCTTGGTGAGGGGGAGCCTGTTGCTGAGGGCCCTGGATAAACTGGGACAGATGGCCCGCTTGTATCAACCTTTCGATGGCCGTCTTCAGCTGATGACAGTCATCGGTTCTGTGCCCCTGGTGCCGGTGGAAGCGACAGTAGGGGTAGTTTGGATTGATGGCATATACTTCCGGGCGCGCGCGTGAATCTCGCTTCACCAGGCCCCTCTCCTCAGCAAAGTCGAGGATGACGCTGAAGGGATGTGTCAAAGGTGTCCGAGGGTGCTCCAGGAGAACAGGCTGTGCCCAAGCCCTCGGGTTCCCCTTGTAGCCCCCCTGGGCTTGGCTTGGCCGTGCCGGGGGCGATCACCGGAGGGGGCAGAATCCTTGGGTTGATTACGGGGAGCCCCCGGCCCCCGGTTGCCTTCGTCGTCTGGCCGAGGGCGTTGCTGATCCGGGACGTGATGGCATTTCTCCACCTCCTCGGCTTCGGCGTACTGGTCCCCCCGCTGTAGGGCCCTTATATAATCGGGGGGGGGGGGGGGGGGGTCGATGATGAGGCTCCTCGAGAAGTTCCCGGGGCGGAGTACTATTTGGAGGAGGGCCAGGAGGGTCCCGTCGTCAGCGCCATCAACTTTATCAGCCTCCGTTCTCCAGCGCTCCAAGAAGTCCCGAAGGGTCTCCTCCTTCCTCTGCCTCACTGTTAACAAGTGGGAGAAGTGCTTTCTTGTGTGGCACCTTCCTGCGAATTACGTCAAGAATCATTGGGCGAGTTCTTGCCATGAATCAATGCAGCCCTCAGGCAATCGATTGAACCATTCGTAGGTCGGCCCCCTCTAAGGTGGAGAGGAACCAGCGGCACAAATACTCATCCGATGCCCCCCACCATCATCATGTTGTTTTGGTATCTGCTGTAGTGCTCCTGGGGGTCAGTTTTTCCGTCATAGGGCTTGATGAGCTGCCCTCAGTATTTTTCCAGGATCCGGGCCGCCAATACCCTTGGGGTGAATGGCGTCCGGGTCCGGAGCTGGATGGTGGGTTCCTCGGAGCCCTCAGTAATCTTCCTCTACATTTCCTCCATCTTGGCCAACATGGCCTCATACTTGAGGTCTGTATGAGGGGCAGAAGTGGTGGCGTGTGCTTTGGCGGCCTCCATCTCGTCAAGTCGACGCTGAAGGGCCGCAATGATTTCATCCCGGGGGTCCTTCGGGAGGGCCTCCGCCCCCTGCGAATGGACACGGGCCGAGTGGGCCTGGTTGATTTGGTGACGGGCGTCGTCGGCATGGAGAGGTGCCTTGCCTTTGTCCTAAGGGGGACGTCTTTCATTGGCCCTGGAGACGGACCCGCCACTTTCCTGAGGCCTTTGGAACGCCTTCCCCCCGAGGCGGTCTTGGACCCCTCGGCGGTCCTGCACCCCCCCCCCCCCCCCCCCCCCCCGAGTCTCTCGAGGGCGGAGGTCCGGAGCTGTTCTTTGTTCACGTTGTGGCGGTCCTGGGATTGGACTTCCTGGGAGGCCGTATCTTGGGCCACGACCCCCTCGACGTTCCCAATCCGGAGGACAGGGTTCCCGAGGGGGTGTGGCTGAGGGGGAGGCATGACATTCTCCCCTACCTGAGGCTGGAGGGGAACCAAAGTGCCGAAGGCACCTGGGTTCTGGGTGAGCGTCTAGATGAAGGCGGAAAACGCCGAATGCACGTCGATGGTGATGACCGGAGGGCTAATTTGATTCTCGCTCCGGTCCTTCTTCTTGGCCTCGATGCCGAGGCGGGCATCGGGGGCATTCTGTTGAATTTGATGGCGTAGGTCGACAGACTTCTGGTCCAACCCGGCGATGACGCCTCCCCGGGAGCCCTGTTAGAGGCTTCGGGGACGTCGACTTCGCCGAGGGCCAGGTTCCTGTCCTCGACGTTCTTGGAGTTGGCACGAGTTGTTCTCACCATCTTAGCTAGGTGTTTTGTGTTTGGCGAGGGGGAGGGTTTCTTACTTGATTGTTCGACCTCTCAACGAGAGCACCAAATGATGGATAGTAAACCCGGGGGGTAGCTTATTCGAAGGGTTATTACAGGGAATAACTAGAGAGAAGTCAGAGCAAGTAAGTAGAGAGAGAGAGTATATTAGAAATGTATTCAGCGTATTTGCTTCTGGGTTACAAATGGGGAAATGGGGTGCTATTTATAGCAGCAATAAATGCCAGATAGGGACACATGTCAAGCATCCATTGGCCGAGAGGTCACCTCACCTGGTTGGCGCTGGCAATCGCATGTGGCCGCATTTAATGCGGCTGTTGGATGGGACGTCGTACTTGGTACGGTGATCCCTGTGCATATGGAGCGGATATTATGTCGGAAAAGGTGCCCTCGACTGTAGATGATTAGCCGAGGGCTCTGAGTACCGGGGACCTCCTTAGTGCCGAGGGCTACTGATTTTCGCCGTTTTCTCCCAGTAACTTTGTTTTCTTGATCTGGCCATCCTGTGAGAATTGGAGCCTTCGGCCAGGGGGGCGAAGGCACCCCTAGTGTGCCACGTGGGTTGCTTAGTACTTGGGGTGCCGTGATTTGGGCCTGCTGTGCTTCCTGGGCCTCTTCGGCCTCCATTAGAATAGTAGGAGTCTGTGGGCCGGGGGTTCCTGGGCCATATACTCCATCAATCATTTTATCACGAACTAAAACAGTGTGATAACCTTAATCTGTATTGAAAATAGGCTAGACTCAATTCCGATTTTCTCAATTTAGAAGTTGTAAGACAAACATTATGAATTCCAATTCAAAATTATAAAATCTACTATATTTTCGTAATCAAAACATTTTACCGAACACCTTATATGCTATAGCTTATATTGTGAACTTACAATACATGTAAAAACAATTAAAAAATCATCAGCAAATACTAATTAGATGCGGAGAAAGACGATGGAATGAAAATAGACAGCGTACCTGCGTTGTCAAAGAGGGCAATAGCATAAAACCATACTTCTATTCGAATGATATTTATAGCGATAACATGTAGTGTAGTAGTTTGTGCTTGCGTCTATAAAAAATGCGGTAATCTCGTGGATGGAGAGCAAAAGACGTGTTATTGATGGCAAGCTCTCCAGTGGCTTATCCAATCCCAGCGAATCTGTTGAGGAATTATGGGAGAAGAAAATGGCTTGCGCTTCTGGCTTCAATTTCTACGCAGGAGGAGTTCTTTAATTTGGAATGGGTGTTTTCATCTCCTTCAAATGAGGAAGACACGTGGATGCCCTAGAGAAGCATCGTGAATTAAGGGCCGGATGACACATTGAAATGGAGGTCATTTTTGTAATTTGAACATCCATTTCCTTTCTTGTATATAAATAGATTTGTTTTGGACTCAACATGTTTTTTAGATATATTTTTGTTTTGGGCTGAACATGTACTTCACACTTATGTTTTGAGTTACTGGATGTGAACATTTCATATTATGTTGTTGGTAACCAAACTTATTTATGGTAATCTAAATGGTAATGTCTTTTGTTGTACTTTAATTTGAGTTGTAGTTATGGTAATGTCTTTTTGATGTACTTGAATGTCTTTAGTTATTCTAATGTCTTTTATGTTGTACTTGATTGTTTTTCGTTATGGTAATGCCTTTTTAAGTTGTTTGACCATTTGACAGTTGATTAAAGTTGATAATGCGTTTGTATTTTAGGCCTTTTTAACGTAGGAAAACTGCCCTAAATAGGAGTAAGGAGGTCTGAAATTCTGAGTATGTGGACCATAGAGTCTAGGCTCATATACTCTATCCAGGGACCAATTGCATTCTTTTCCGGATTAACGTGTCTATTAGTGAGATTAACATGTTAAGGGGCTATATTGCAAATATGAAAATTGCTTGAGGGCCTATTTGCCCCTTTTCTCCATATTTTGATATTTGTCCTTTAGTCTTCTAAGTTATTTCCGTGATTCCCCAAGCGGCCAATTGAGAATTCGAGGTTGTTGGCTATCCGATATATTATTTTATATACTTCTTATTTTATACTCTCTCTGTTCCGCTAACAACGGGACAAGAGGAAGCGACACACAAATTAATAAAAAGTGGTTTGTGTGGTTGATATTGAATTGATAAAGTAAGAATAAAGTAAGAATGATTTAGAGCTTCACATACATTACCAAATTTGGTATGAGACAATTATAGTGGGACGCATCGAAAATGTAAAATGAGGCAATTTTAGCGGGACAAAGAGAGTAATAAATTATAATGAAATATCCGGGTTCAAGTTTGTGTGGTTGATATTGAATTGATAAAGTAAGAATAAAGTAAGAATGATTTAGAGCTTCACATACATTACCAAATTTGGTATGAGACAATTATAGTGGGACGCATCGAAAATGTAAAATGAGGCAATTTTAGCGGGACAAAGAGAGTAATAAATTATAATGAAATATCCGAGTTCAGGTTTTGATTGATCCGGGCCAGTTTGTAATTTTCAGGGACAATATTTGAGCCTGCAATTTCAGCTTCATTCCAGGTTTTGTTAACTGGCCCGCCAAATATAAAAAACCGGCCCGATAATATTTTTCAATCTGAACCCGGGATGGTTTTCAGGTTTTGGTTCGGTTTTCCCCGCCCTACGTCTATGATCACTGATATATTATCATTCACCCAATTCCTCCTAGCGTGATGTGGACTTTTGCCTGTATTTTTGGGCCAGTGTACAAGCATGTAAAGAAAACCAAATATTTATTGGGCTTACAGCTTACTTTTTTTTTGTCCAACCGCAAGGATCCACGACTGGATCTTGGATGAGTTGCACCCAACATCCGGACAGCCCAATCACATACTATCCTACAACGCACATGTACGGACAACTGAGAATATTATCATCGTTTTGAAAAAACAAACAAATGGTCGGTTCATAATGCAGAATTGACATTCATGTGATTCAGATCTGAAAGTTCACGGAAACGTTGTGATGAAGTCACGTGAAAAACGACACCCCTTCTCTCTCCTCCTCACCAATTTCACGATTTCCGGCCACCCCACTCTCAACCCTTCTTCGATTTCCTCTTTTAGGTCAGCTCTTTCTTTCTTCTCTGTTCATAGACGCGCTTTGTTTCAATTATCGAACATTGCTGTTACCCTAGTGAATTGGAGTAGGTTTTGAACTCGCGATTCATTAACTGCCGAGTAGGATTTTAGCTCGTATTTGGTGATTGAAGATGGGGGAGAAGTTCTGTTTAGATGAAGAGGATGTGTCCTTGTTCGAAGGGGTGTTAGGAAGGCAGGCCGTTGATTTCTTCTCTTGGTCAGCTTCTCATAATCTGTTATCAGACTTTGTTTCATCCTGTGGAAATCTTAGGGTTCAGCAGGATCTGTCCAAGATTACGGAGGATTTTGATTGGGCTTATGCCATATACTGGCAAGTAGCCAAGTCAAAATCTGGGAAATCTGCTTTGGTTTGGGGAGATGGACATTGTTCAGAGGCAATTGCGAATCAATCATTAACCGAGAGAGATAACCAGAAGAAACGCGTGCTTCAAAAGATTCGTGCTTGTTTTGGTCGACCAGAAGGTTATAATTGTTCTCAAAACAAGTCCGAATCTGTATCTGATATTGAGATGTTCTATCTTGCATCCATGTATTACGTCTTCCCTTTTGATGTTCCTTCCACCCCTTCCCAGTCATTCAATTCCAGTAGAACAATATGGGCTTCTGATTTAAAGACCTCCTTAGAACATTACCAGTCAAGATCCCATCTTGCTAAATCAGCTCAATTTGAGACTCTAGTGTTTATTCCTCTAAAATCTGGGGTTGTGGAGCTTGGTTCCACAAAGCCTGTTCCTGAGGATCCAAATATGGTCAAGATGGTTCAGAAAGCATTAGGTGTAGTATCAACTCATGTCCCCCGAATATTTGGTCAAGAACTTCTTAGTCTTGGAGGTACAAAATCAGGGCCTATTAGTATCACTTTTTCCACAAAGGTGGAACAGGAATTTGAGTACCCTTCTGATTCATTTGACGTAACAAAGGCAATAAGCGATGAAGTGGATGGAAAACCAGCTCAACCGCGGAAGAGAGGGAGGAAACCGGCGAATGGAAGAGAAGAACCGCTGAACCACGTGGAAGCAGAGAGGCAGAGGCGTGAGAAGCTTAACCAGAGATTCTATGCATTGAGAGCGGTTGTCCCGAATATATCAAAGATGGATAAAGCATCTCTGCTAGGTGATGCAATTGCGTACATCACTGATCTCCAGGCAAGGGTGCGGACCATGGAAGCTGAGAGGGTCATGACTGATGCAGTTCCTAACATTGATGTTCATCAACGATCCGATGATGTCGTTGTACGGGTTGGTTTCCCTTTGGATGGTCATCCGGTTTCAAGAGTTGTGAAGGCGTTCAGAGAACATAATGTAGAGGCAAGTGAATCGAATGTGACTATTACAGAGAATGGTGAGGTGGTTCATACATTTTCTGTTCAAACAGAAGGTGGCGGTGATTCGGCTCAAGAGTTGAAGGAAAAACTGGCTACTTCTATAGTCAAGTAATAGATACCATACATAATATATGAGATTTAATTTTATAATGTATCATATGTATGTAGGTATGCATTTAGTTGTTCATATAGCTGAAACATTCGAGTTTAATGCTCTTATGAGTTCTGTACACCTATAGAAGATCGTGTTTGTTTGTTTTGATTTGGAGGCAATGTTCTGGCCTTTTCCTTTGATTATTTGATTGTCATGTTTCTTTTTTATGGACTTCAGTAATCTTGGCTTCTTAAAAAATAGGTGAATCCATTTTCAAAAACAAAAAAAGGTGAATCCAAGTTTAAAAAGTTTGATGAACTTAGTTTAATCATGTTGCTTCTACAAAAACTATTGTTTAGAAAATTAGCAGGTCAACCCAGGTGAGTTTGATAAACATTGTTTGCTGTGTTATTAAATGAACCTTCTTGGAAAATTTTATCTTCGAAAATCTGTAGTCAGGTTTCTCCTAATCTAGTTCCTAGATGAACCTTCTAGAGGATAATTTAGGTTCTATGAAAACTTGAAATTTTGCAGATATATAATAGACAAAGGAGATGAGTATAAGTACCTTAGTAGTGTTGAAGCCAAGTACATAGTGTAAGTACCTTAAATTGTTAACAGTGGCTACTAGCCGACCCTGTAATAAAACTATATGCTACAAATGTTCAACACACATAAACATACGGAGTATGATGCAAAAGCACTTCTAAAGTTTATTTACTTTAGTGTAATATTAATAAAATATAGTGCATTATTGTCATATAATGAGTGCATTCATGTACTACCTCCGTCCCATAATTTACTTCCGAAATAAAGTGGCACGCGGATTAAGAAAGTGAGAATTGTGTGGTGGAGACTTGTGCAGAGAGAGAAATGCTGTGAACCACAAATTCTTTGACAAAAAAGGAAAGGGAAGTTCTTTTTGGGATGGACGAAAAGGGAAAGTTGGAAGTATTTTCAGGGACGGATTGAAATACTGATTTTGATTCTAATATGACAAGACAATTTGATGGACACTACATATTATCGTGCACATATATGTAAATATAGTACTGCAATCTGCAACGAGCTAGTGACCATCTCTGTGCGTTTTGATTTTTGAATCCTCTCTACTTCATATCACATAGCATGCCTGCATACACCAACTCGTTATACTTATACACTTTGGTTGTCATTTTTTTGTCATTTATTTCTTTTAAAGTCATGCTAATATAAAGCTTCAAAGTTCAAACTCTAACCACATTGCAATACTTTGATGACCTAGGAGGGAATCTCCTTCCGATATTTGATTGTGATATCGAAGTTGATTGATGTGTCATTAAAATATGCCCCATACAAAAAAAGACGCACTGCACACAGAAATTTGCTCAACACTGTGCACATCATTGAGCAATAATAATTGAATGGAAAATTATGTTGACGTTCATGTTCATTTGTACACGCTTTATATACGCTCCTCCGTAATTTTTATCGATATCACATGCAATCCGTTTTAAAAATCCAAACATTATTTGTGACACAGACGAAACGCATAGACGAACGTGTACAAAACGTAGACAAACGAGCATGTACAAAACGTAGGTGAATGGGCATGTACACTAAGCATGATTCTATTTAAAATATTGGAACAAATAATATAACACAGAGTGCAATCAAGTGTAATAGCATAATCCTTGTTTCTATTACTTGTCACTTATTCCATTTTGGAAATAATCAAGAAGTTATGGAAACATCAGTATGCATTGATAGATTAGAGATGTCTTATCTGGACTTGAATGAAAAAAAAATGAAAAACGTAAAGGAGATTAGAACATCTCTAATGCTATGGTGTAAATAGTAAAAAAATGACCACATCATACAGTAAGAAAGTCTTTTTTCCTGCCATAATGCTTTCTTTCTTCGATTGAGTCTTGGTGAGATGTCAAATGTAAATTTCAATAGTGTGAAGCTCACTTACTGATTTCAAAAAGCTAGTTACGTAGCCCGTTATGAAGGAATGAATGAAATTGGTTTACGAAAGAGAAGAATAGGACACCAGTTACTAACTGACCATAATAATTAATAGAAAACGACATACTTAAAAACGCTAACCTAAAAGTCTCTTATTTATAACGTTTTCATTTCAGCGATCCCGTCCAAAAAAAAGTAGAGACAATATGGTTTTGACTCATGAAAAATGCAAACGAGGTCATTTTCGATGTCATGCTCTAATCACATTCGCTAGTTTATCAATTTATCCATTAACGGAACTCGTTAACGGCTACTATGAGTACAGTGTTAGTTAAAGGTGCACGCCGCCAACCCCCACGCTTGAACGTGCAAATAGCCAAATACATACAGTATCTCCCACTCATTCACTCCGTACTCATTTACAGCGCAAATATCTCATGTGTCGCTTCCCAACGAAAAGCCAGCCTCCACTAACCCCGTCGCCGTCAGCCCAAACTGTGCGCCAATAGTGATGCCCGCCTCACCCTCCGCCGTGCGTATCATAAACGGAAGCAATCATGGATGGAGTCAGCATTTAGGGATAACCATTATTGCAATGTAAAAAGATAAGAGGCGAAAACAAGGCTCGTCTTTTCCCATACTGGCAAAACATAAATCTGAAAAAAAGCAGACCAATCGCCCCTCCTGTCTCTGAAATCTTTTAGATCAAAGTTTGCACAAACCAACAGGTAACTGCTAAATCTAACTAGTTTTTCTTACCAGTAGCTTGTTTCTTCCACCTTTCAGCTTAACATGGAAAAAGAACAAATCTTTTTGGTGATCATCTTCTTCAGAGTTCAGACACACTCACACCCACCACACGTCTACCTTTGACTATGGTCTTTGTCTCTGTTCTTGATATGCCATTAAGTCAGAGTGGAATAGTTCTTCCCCATTATTGATTACTTCTTTGTAAGTAGAACACATTAAGTCAGTGACATAGCTTATTAGTGCTGAAACAAGATATTTTAGCACTGATAAGCTCATGTTTTGTCTACTTGATTTATTTAATTATTTTAATGTGATTATTGTCAACTATACACTTTTGGTTCTATATTATCTTCAGAGAGCGCCAAAATTAAAGATTGCAACTTGGGCAAATCAGATGAACTGGGTCTAACGTCAAGTTTGAATCTTTTCCCAAATAATGGAAAACCCGTGGTGAAATTGCTTACTTTTCAATTTTGTGTAAGTGGCCACCTTATCTTTAAGGTTAGATACTCATATTTTAAGCTTTAATCCCCTACAAACCGAAAACATGTGTGAGGTTTAAAGATTTTACTTTTGTGAGCAGATAAAGGAAGTGACATGTGTGTTCATTAAATTTATTGAGTGGTCAAAGCAGCCAACTAGTATGAGTTTATCTTTCTCTTTATATAGCCCACTTCTTTTATTCATTGGTTGAGTATAAAAACTTTTGGAGCCCTTATCTCTTTCAGGCTTCCATTCTGAACATTAAATTTCCATTATGTCAATGTTTGTTTCACATTATCAATGTGTTGATGAAACATGTCTATAAGTCTTTAATACTTGTCTCAACTCATTGCCGTGGAGTCCTTTCTCATTATTCAAGTTTAAACAATTAATAGATTCTATTAATTTCATGAAGTTGTCTGTAACTAGCTTGGGATTAAGGTTTTGATGATCACTGGTAGGGTAGATAACATCAAGAATTTTCTCACATATCATCCAAGAAAATAACCATTGCTTGGGGTTTATGGTTCAGACTCATAATCTGGCTGCCTCTTATACCCGCTATATGTTGTTGGCTTGTTGGATTTTTGGAGCCCTTCTCTTTATATAGCCCTCTTTCTAGTGTATGAAAATTTTCTTTGTCCCTTCCCACTTAATTCTAGTGTATCTATTGCCATTAGATTGTGATGGATGCAAACAATGAAGGCCCACATGAGCAGGTGGTTGTTACGATCCCTGATGGTGACGGTTCGATGGATCATCCCAAGGCTAAACCATCATCTGGTTCACCCAATGTGTCAACCGATTCACCCAAGGTCGCCGCGTTAAGCCCAACCACCATTAAGTCTCCAAGACCACTACCCGCTCCTACGACTTTCACTCAGCGAATAGCACTCACAAGATCAAGATCAGTTTACTCAAAACCAAAGTCAAGGTTTGGTGAACAACCGATACCCATTGATTACATTTTTGATGATCGAAGTGATCCATCCACCCGTGGTTCGCCCAACAGTGAATCGGGCTCTGATAGTGCTTGTGATACACACAAAGAGACTAGAAGAGATATCCCGGTGAGCATTATGCGCAAGACGCCACTAATGGTGTCACCAGGTGGTCATAGGGGAGACGATGAGCATGAAGACGTGTACAAGAAAGTGAAACTGGAGAATAATTTGAAGTTCAGGAAAAGTACTATGAGAGCTTTAAGAGAATGGTCATTGATTCTTTGCATTTTAGGGTGTTTGATTGCTAGCCTGATGATTAATAAGCTCAAGAGTTGGAAAATTTGGGATTTGGAGTTATGGAAGTGGATAACGCTTTTTATGGTCACTTTCAACGGGCTATTCGTCACTAAGTGGTTCATACACTTCCTTGCCTCATTGATTGAGCTCAACTTCTTGTTAAGGAGGAAAGTATTGTTCTTTGTCTATAGTTTGAAGAAGATTGTTCGTGTCTGTCTATGGCTGAGTATAGTTCTCATCACGTGGGTATCACTCATCTCGAATGGACCTCGAAGACCACGTTTGGCTGACCGAATATTGGATCACATTACATGGACTATAGCCTCCTTGCTTATAGGGGCGTGTTTGTGGCTATTGAAAACTCTGTTGATCAAAATATTGGCAGCCTCTTTTCACTTGAACACATTCTTTGACCGAATCCAGGTTTCATTTTTTCATCAGTACATCCTGTTGACCCTATCCGGGGACCAGCTTATGGAGTCAGCTGAAATGCTTGGGGGGGCAAACAGCAATGTACGTAAGCTCAGCTTCCGCAGGACAAAGAAGGGAAAAGGAGGGAAGAAGAATAAGAAGGACATAGAGGTAATTGATATTGATAAGCTTCATGAGATGAAGAAGGAGAAGGTGTCTGCTTGGACTATGAAGATGTTGGTTGATGTCATATCTAATACAGGCTTGTCCACTGTATCTGGTTCATTGTATGGAGATGCGTTTGGGGGAAAGCTGGAACAAGTGGCTACCGAAATAACTAATGAAGAGGAAGCAATAGCTGCTGCTTATCACATCTTCAGGAATGTTGCACAGCCTGGTTCCAAGTAAGATATGATCTGCAGTTGGTACTTTTGAAGATTTTCTAAGATTTATGTACATGCTTTATCTACAGCACAGTTTGTTTCCTGGAAAGGAAAAAAGTCTAGATTTTTTTTGGAAATTATTCTCGAGATTTAAAAGGAAAACATTTTTGCATTTTTCTGGATTTGACTCTTGGTAATTTTTTCAAATGAAAGATTTGTCTCTGTTTGATTTGGAAATTATTCTGAAAAATTTTTTGGCAACTTTCTAAACTTTGTAGAAAATGTCATATCCTTTGACCCAAAATGGTTTAACTTTTTCTATTTCATTGATCAAACAAAAATAGTAATTCTTGGTGTACACACCATTTTGCGTGCGTTAGAAATAACTTTTGCATCTTTTATAACCAATTGCCTATGATAATGAAAAAATATAGAGGTATACACGTGTATAAAATGATGTGTACAAACTTAATTTTCCAACATTATATCATCCAAAAAAACTCACTCCTATTTTATAGAAAAACATTTTTCACGAATCTAGTTCTTTTATGGTAAGAAAAGGGAACCCAATTTTCACCATTTTGACTACTTTTACAGGTGCATTGATGAGTTTGACCTAAGGAGATTCTTGATTAAAGAAGAGGTTGATACAGTTTTACCAATGATAGATGCGGCAGGGGCAAGAGAAATAGACATGAAAACATTGACGGAATGGGTGGTACGTAACCTCCAACCCCAAATCTTTTGTTGGGGGTAATGCTTAGTACATATAATTTAATTCATGTCATTAATAAACCATCCCAATTGAGTCTATAGTAAGCATTTTAAGAGTCATGTAATCATAATGTCACTTGTTAACAAACTATCAATTCCATACTAATTTTTAAAGTAATTGGTTAAATATATTTATATGATACTTGGTATTAGTGAACAATCAAGTCAATTTTTTAAAGAAAGAAATGTTGTGTTCCCAAATTTTAAGAAGAAAACACAACTGAATAGCCATACGACAAAGGCTATGTTTGACACACCATTTCAACTCAAATGGGTTAAAATTTCAAAATCTGAATTTTTTATATTTTTTACTAATAAGGAATGAAAGATATTAATGGTCAAACTTGTGCATTGGCAAACGTGAAAAGTGGACTGTTGCAATTAAAAAGGAACGGAGGAAATATATTACTTTATACTTAATGAGTACATAGTTTAAATGAAATGAATATTAGTATTAAATTATAAAATTAGCACAATAAATATTTTTGATGACAATACAATGATAATATAGTTAAATGAATAAGTTGATTTATAGCATATATATTACGTGTGGATCATAATACTCAATTTATGTTTCTAATATTCAATTATGCTACCAAAGCAATGACTTAATACTAATGGTCATTTCCTTTCACGTTATATTCATTAGGTATAAGATAAAATATCTGGTTGTACGGTGAGCACCGTATAACCAACCATGTGTATGGTGCAATTACTCCTATTTGAGATAGGTGCATTAAGTGTTCTTACATAGTTACATGGGATGTTTTTAGATGTGTGTCTAATGCATATGTATGATATAAATCTTGAGAGCTAGAGACAATGTTGGTTCCATTTTAACAAAGTGAATTTAAAATGTTTTCACTTGAATTTGTTTAAGTTTCAAATCAGATTAGATTATACCCTTTCTATTGTATAAGATTTTGTCAACTTTTTTTTTGTTTGTCCTAAAAAATTATCATTTTCCCTTTAAAGTAAACATGCAATTTGGGCTTACTTCTCCCTCCTCTTCACAGTTTTCAACCACACAATTTTTATTTTTCTTATTTCTTACCTAATACGAACTTGACAATGTCCAATAAGATGGAGTTAATACTTAATTAAGGACTTAATCATACCGAGTATTAGATTATATTAAACTTAAAAAACGATAAAATACAGATGTATCATACTCGGATCAGACTTAAACATAACACAGTGACATATTTTATTTTTGGCAAGTGAATGAATCAATTTCATTTTCATTTTCATTTACCCCAGTGCCGCAAAGGCTCCCACCTACGGTGGGGTAAGGGGGGGTCGGATGTACGCAGTCTTACCCCTATACTAAAGCATAGAGAGACTGTTTCTGGATGACCCATAGTGAAAATCGCGTCCAAAATTGCATGGACTGACTGCTGCTTCATTACAAAGAAGCGCAGACAGTTTAGTGAGCCATTTTGCTTTATTCCATCATAATCTCAAGCCAAAAAATAATGAATCTTTGGCTCCATTGCAAATGATGGAAAGGAAGTGAATGAATCAATTTGAGTAAACAAAATTGAATATACTTTACGCTTCCACATATTGCAGGTTAAGATTTACAAGGACCGGAAAACACTGTCCCATGCTTTAAATGACACAAGAACAGCGGTGAGGCAATTGAACAAGCTCGTCACCGGGACTCTGATAATTATAATTATCATCATATGGCTTCCGTTAGTTGGGATAGCGACAACAAAAGTCATCGTCTTTTTCTCGTCCCAACTTGTCGTGGCGGTATTCATGTTCGGCAACACTTGCAAGACGGTTTTCGAAGCCGTCGTCTTTGTCTTCGTGGTGCATCCTTTTGACGTTGGGGATCGTTGCGTTGTGGATGGTGTTCAGGTAATTGTTCTCTAAGTTTCACTATGTTTTTAAATTTTAATTGGACTGACTTCGGTCCTAGATCAGACTAGACCAAATTCAAATAGTCCAAACCGCACTTCAACATATTAGATCAAATCACAGATCAAATCAGGTCAGACCAGATTTTGGCATTAGAAAATACACATAAAATAAACGCTTAGAGTTCATTTGGAGATAAAACTCCAAGTGTTCACCTTTACTATTAACTTGGTGGTTTTAGTGCTTTTATAAGCTACAATGTTCAAGGCTTTCTCTAGACATGAATATTAAAGTGAACATGCATATTTACTGGGTATGTTTCAAGCTACAATGACACCAATGACCATTACAGTTACAACTATGATAACTTGCATTGTCTCAATTGTTTTCACTGACTTTGTTTCAATCATATTTTGCTCATTATTCATTAATTCTTTATCCATTTGTATCTTGGAGCAGATGATTGTTGAAGAAATGAACATCTTAACGACTATCTTCTTGAGATTTGACAATGAGAAAATATACTACCCGAATTCGGTTTTGGCTACTAAGCCCATCAGCAATTTTAATAGAAGTCCTGATATGAGCGACTCCTTTGAGTTTTGTATTGATTTCCAGACCCCGGTGGAGAAGATAGGAGCTTTGAATCGAAAAGTAAAGAAGTATGTTGACTCTTTCAGCATTTTGATTATCATTCTCCTTCCATGAACTCTAGTCAAAAGGATATTTTTGGCAGACTAGTAGGAAATTCCCAAATATCTTTGTCAGGGAGAGTGAAAATATCCATGAGACCCAATAACGCACCTAGCTAGTAATCTGAAAAAATTCACTCTCCTAAAAATCAGTTTGCAAGATAATAAGGTGTGGAGTGTATTTTGCTATTGTAAAGTAACACTTATGTAGTACTAACATCTTTACACTTAAATTGCAGTCCGGTATGGTTTCATTTAAACGGCTCCTTTGTTTAATAAGTCTTTCGTATTGTCTAGAAATGGTACGTTTAAGATTGGTCTGATCTAATCTGATCAACAAAGTATGATATTTTGTGTATTTTTGTATTATCTAAGTCTAGTCTGGTCGCATATAATGTTATTTATTCTAATTTGTTTAAGTCTGATTAAATATGATCAGATCTAGTTTGGTTTAAATTCTAATTAGTACATTAAAATTTGAAGAATCACATGCACAAGGTTGAGATCAATGTGTTTCTTTTTGTGTTATTTTTGTTAATTACATTAAGAATCTTAGACACGAATTTGGAAGAATTATTAGTAGAATGGACTATGATTTTCAGGTATTTGGAAAAATGTCCACTTTGGCACCCAAATCACAACATGGCTGTGATGGAGGTTGAAAGTATGAATAAATTGAAGATGGTCTTGTGTTTCAACCACACGATGAACTTCCAAAACTGGGCAGAAAAAAACAGGAGGAGAACTGAACTGATACTGGAGATGAAGAAGATGTTTGAGGATATGAGCATTAGATACGATCTTCTTCCTCAAGAAATCCATCTCATTGAATCATCATAAACAACTGGCGGGATAAGAGAAGTAGTATATTCTGTGGCTTCCGTTTTTTATTAAATTAAATTTCTTAAGCATACATTACTAAAAATATTTGTAATATTGATCTGGTATTGTTGTAATATCGATTTTATAGCATAATATACTTTGTATATAGCGACAGATAAAAAGTTGTTATTGAGATCTGTAAAATTACATGTATATTGATATGTTTCCCTACACATAAATATAATCACGTTATAAAATTAACAAGCTTGACTCAAAAGGTCAAATTGGAACTTTAATCAAGGGTCAGAGGTAGTATCATAAATAAGTTGTTACAAATTAAATTTTATAAAGTTTTAAATACTACGTATAAAACATAAATGAATAATTATATTTAGATAATCTGGGTACATAATTAATTTATAAAATCTTCAAACACAAAAATGACACATGCTTTTTACCGAACTAGAAAAAGTTAATTCCCTAAATAGGACTAAGAAGTGGCAAAATAGCACAAATAGGACTGCATTTTTAAATTCCCCGAATAGGACTATTTATGCGTGTTTGAACAAATATACCCTTGTAGCTTTTGAAATGTTTGAATTAATAATTAAATCATGAAAAAATAATAAAAAACGTAAAAAATAATAAAAATCAAAAAAACAAAAAAATTATAATATATTTAAAAAATAAAAATTTAAAATTTTTTTATTCAAAAAATTAAAATTAAAAAAAACGTAAAAACGAACACCGCCGCCTCTGCCACCCCCAGCACCACCAGCTCCCATCACTTTAAATAATAAAATATTTGTGCGACAAAAATATTACGATATCATAATTAAAAATTTCATGACAAATAAAATTTAATCTTGCTAAAAATAAATTTTAATTACACAGTTTATAATTTATTCAAACTAACGTTAACAATAAGAATCCAATAAGAATTATGATTGTAATAGGTTAAGTTCTAATAGCTGCCATTTTTCCTTGCTAGGGTTTTCTTCCGCCGAGTAGGTGCGGCTTTCTTCCTTGGACGACTCACAACGTGTCTATGGCAATGAACATGAAGATATTGGTCAAGGACAAGGAAGGTGGGCCGCGACAAGAAGCAGATGATGCAAACCCAGCGCAAGCAATTATTGGTCACATGGAAAAGCTAATTGGTCAATACGATGGTTTATTGCGAACAGGATCGGAGGCGAACGAATTCGTCCTTAATGATGATGATGAAGTCGTCTCCGATATAGAGGACATCAGCGTTGAATCTTTTCCGATGGTCGACACATTACTCACAACAAGGTGGTGAAGTTTCAAATATTCACAGACTTAATGGAGACTCTGTGGCGTCCATGCAAGAGAGTTTCAATCCAAGAAATTTTACAAAATAAAGTATCTTAGAAAATTTTATCATTTTGTTGACATGAATCGTGTTCTGGACAATGAACCATATGATTGTTTGATTAGAATTTATTGGTATTAAGGGCTATAAAATTGAGGGAATATCCCTCTTAAGGCCCCCTTGGCCTGGAGTCAGCTAAGTTCTGGGTGCAGGTGCATAATGTGTCATATGGCTACTCTAACCTAGAAACTGGTGGGAGAATTTGGAATTATTTGGGAAAATTTGTTAGATGGGATGATCAATTTGATGACAAATGGGAGGCCTATATGCGGGTTAGAGTTTGTTTGGATGTGGGGAAACTCTTAAAGGTCATAACAACCATTAAGAAAAGTAAAGGGGAATATTATTGGGTGGACTTTAAGTATGAAAAGCTGCATAACTTCTGCTTTGTGTGTGGACTCATAGGGAATGCCGAGAAATTTTGTCCTCTAATTTATGAGAAAGGGGACAAGACTCTGACCAATCCCTTAGCTTCGGACCGTAGGTGCATGCGGGAGCTGAGGGAGAAACCTCACCCCTCTTTTGGCAATTAGTGGTTGGTTACAGAGGGGAGTTCAGTAACGGAAGTAAACAAAATGAAAGCTAGCAATAGAAAGGATCAAGAGCAAGACCCAAGTCACACATAGGAAGAGTCCCAAGGATGGGTGGTGGCTGTTACGAACACGGGAGCAGGTGATCAGGCTGAAGGTGGGCCTGGAGATCAGAAGAGGAACAAGAGCAGGGGGGACCCAATGGTGGATGAAATGGCTCTTGACGTGCCAAAAAACGGGGAAGGGGCGGGGATTGGGTTCTTGAGGATTCAACTATTCCTACTGCTTGGAGGACGTACACTTTTATCTTGATTATTCTATTTTTATGTTGTGTACTTGTGTTTTTATTTCGAAATGTATGTTGTTTTGTTCGTGATGTTATTTCATAGCAGAAAAACTTTAGAATCTAAGACGAGTGACGGGAAGCCTGGTGATAGAGTATTGAATCTTAGATAGAAGTGAGAGCTATAGAGAGAAAGTGAGTAATTAATATTTCTCAACCCTTTATAACTACTCCTAGGGGGCTATTTATAGGGGAAAATGTGGGTTTGAGCTCCCAAGTCTTGGGCTTACTTTAAAAATAGTTAATTTTCCAAAAAATAATAATTTTATAATTCTATTAGGAATTATATGTAAGGGAAAAGAGCTAGATCAATGGAATTAAAGTATTTGATGTAAGGGAGAAGAGATTATGGGGATTACTATATATGGAAATGGATAGTTTTATTTAATTTAAAATTTTTGATAAACTAAATAACACTCTCTTTGTACCATAATTAAATTCCTAATTTGACTTTTATGATCTTCTACGTAGAAGTTTGAATCAAAATATTTCACAAAATATACTTATAAATCTATAATAAATCATATTTGAATAATATATATTGCAATGAAATATATGAAACTGATTTTGTGCAATAAAGTAATGTCATTTTTTTATATTTAATGATCAAAATTTATGAAGTTTAACTCATAAAATCAACACTACTACAAATATGAGATACCACGTCACACGTATTACGTCGGTTATTAAAAAACAGTCGTAATAACATATGAAATTTAATTTAACGTCGGTCAGTGTGTATAACCGCCGTTATATATGGTAAATTAAAAGACGCCACCCAATGACGTGCACTTGTCGTAAGATGCACTCAAAATAAGTACAATACAATGATTATACGTAGTATAACGAAGTAAGGTTCGTATCCACGGGAAAAGAATATTTATCTTTTATAATAACAGTAGTGAAAGGGGGGGGGGGGGTTGAGTTTGATTTGATTTAATTTAATTAACACTAAGATGAACAACTTATATGAGTTTAAATAATAGAGATGCGGACTTGGTTTTGCTTTTATCCACTTAATGAAATGTTCGTCGATCTCGGTTATATCTTTAACTAGCTTCCTCTCGAACACTCAATCGAGGAGTATATCCAGTTCATCGAGGGTAGTTATTAATAACGAGATGCGTACATTAATAAAACTTACTATCGAGTCAATATAGAACAAGCGACGTATATTAACTTGATAGTAGCAATAAACTTAAGATAAAAACGATTGAGATTGATAACCTCAACACAAACGGTTTATTGGTTTAATCAATATAATTAATTTTCCTTGGCATATTAACCATGAGATGCATGCATTAATAATCCAAGTTTACTACTGTTGAAAGAACCGGATTAATAACAAGCGTATTAACCGATTGATTCTAGTAATAATTAATATAAGAGACAAAACTAGTTGATACTTTAAGTAATGCTCAAAATATTAATATGGAATATGAATAGGAAAGAATTAATATTCAAGGAAGAAGATTAAAGAAAATAACTCACAACTTACAAATTCATTAAGCTTCAAAGTAGCAAAATCAAGATGGAAGAGTTTAGCTTCTCATTTAGAGACTAAACATGAAGAAAATATAAAGAAAGGACTATTCTAGACTGAGCTTAGAAGTATAAAGGAATTGGATGTCTAATTGTGAAGGAAATGAGGTGTATTTATAGGCTCTTGGGATGCAGCTAGGGTACCCGATCGGGTATATACAAGGTACCCGATCGGTATGTGTAATACCTCAAATTCGAGGTATACTCGATTGATCAAAGGGAAAATTTAATAAGCATACCCGATCGAGTATACCTTTGTACCCGGTCGAGTATGCTTATAACTTCATATTCGGGGCATACTCGACCGAATTCAGGTTTGTATTTGAAGAGATACCCGATCGGGTGTGTCGGTGTATCCGATCGGGTATGGACACTCGATCGTGGTCCGAATCTTCTCTGCATGATTCTTTGTCTTTGGATCCGATCCGATTTGAAGTTTCAACAAGATACCCGATCGGGTATAGGTGATACTCGACCGGGTATAGACCAAAATTTCAGGATCCTTCTTTTTTCTTCAAATTATGCATCTTCCTTCCACTTTTGGAGTTCACCAACTGTCCTTTGAGTTGATCAAGACCTGTTTGAGCTCAGAATAAACCTAATTTAAACAATTTACAAGAAATTAACAAACTAAACTATTACACCAAAAGTGTGTAATTTCCAAAGTAAAACTCAATCAAAACTAATTAAAAACACAAACATTCGCAAATTACAAACGTATCACCCAACCTTCTCTTCACGGTCTGTTTACTGCCCGGCGTAATAGGCATGCGTTTAAGAACGGTTTTCTAATAACCGTGATGTGATTGTTTTAATAATGAGGCGGTAATAAAAAACACCTCGGACGCCGGCTCATTTATTCACACTCTAAAGTTCTTTTTCCATTCTCGTCTCATATTGAAGACAGATCTGCGCCGCTTAGTTTCATCTCTCGTCTCGCTGAAGCCGTCGGTCTCCCTGCCGCAGTCCTTCGACGAACTGATTCGATCCTTAGAAATCCCCTGATTCAGAAACCCTACACAGGTATGTTTTCACTCGCACCGATGATCGGCCTCTTCTTTCCACTCTATCCTCGTTATTGCACAACTCTTTCTAGGATCTATCTTTATTAATCGGCCTTTGAAATTTTGCAGCACTGGTTCCTTGAAGCTCTGCCTATGCCGCACAGGGTAGGCACAGTAGAAGAAAAGGCAAAAAACTACAATAATTAATCTTGACCTACAGGTTTCATATGAATAAACTTTTAGTTTTTAGCCTTTGGAAATATGTTGCCACGCTGGTTCATTGAAGCGAGATGCAAAAATCAGCAACAATAATCTCAACCCTCAGGTTTCATCTGAATAAATTTTGAGTCTTTACTTCTTATTTATATTCGAAAATTGTAGTTTTTGAAATTTAGGGTTTATGTTAATACTATAAAATTATTATTTGAATTTGACACTTTTGGTTTTGCAAGTTCTATGGTTTGATTTTTTTGTTTTGTTAATCTATTGGAATGTATCGGGTAGAAAACAAATCAATTTTCAGATCTTGGGAAACGACTCTGAGGACAGTTCTTGGGATGACACTATTCAACACTGCTAGCCTCTCTCAAGTCAAAATGTTTGCCTTATACAGGTATTTTTAACATTCATGTGAAAATTTGACAATTCAAAAAAACAATTGAGTTATAAAATGTGGTACAACCATGAGATTGGTTTTTGTATCTTTTTGTGGTGATGTAGAGCCGAAGAATAAATTAGCAATATAATAAAAATATCTTTATGGATTTCTAAATTTGAATATGCAATTCATCAATTAGCACAAGATTTTTTTACTTTTTACTGATCTGAATTCTAAATTAACTATTTTGCTTCAATGGTGGTGGCTTGTCAGGTGTGAGGCATCTTCTTTGACTAAAAGGAGAGCTTTCGATAGACACATAAGTACTAGCATAGGTTGAGGTTGGTTTATTATTTGGTATTTTTTCTTTCATTTCTGTTTTAATGGATGAAAAACTCAGATTAGCTCATAATTCTAAGTCATATTTAATGTTTAATCTCAGTTTGTTAAGATATTGTTTTATAGAACAGTCATTTGATGTAACTGACAGTTCAGTCAATCTCAGTTTGTTAAGATATTGTCAGGCTTACTCCACTGATAGTTGGGATCTTCTTTGGTGTAGAAACCTTGTCTGGAGTCCTTGCTGGATCCTTTGTCTCTGGTGTACAGATTGCTATCTCTGCATCAAACACTGGTGGTGCCTGGAACAATGCTAAGAAGTATATCGAGGCCGGTGCTTCACAACATGCCAACACCCTTGGCCCCTTCGTGAAACTTTAATGAAATTTATAGTTAAGCCAATTAATTAAAAGTTACAAATTTGATCCTAAAATGATACGGAGTAAAACTTTTGTTAGCATTTATTTAGGTAAAAGTAGTTACCTTTTGAAAATGCAGGTAAGATTACTTTACTTCATTCAATGATCTAATTTCCTTTTAAATGTGTTTGTGTATAAATGACTGAAGAAAGTAGAAGGTTTCTGTAATTAATCTAAAATAATGAGTATTAGAATGTAGCAACTAGCAAGTACAGTGTTTGAGAAAAGTCCTCTAAGAATTATTAGAGTTTTAAGTTTTATTGAAACCACAATAAACTTCAGGTTGCCTTTAATATATGCCTAACTTTCCAATGTTCCCTAAACTGGGGATTTAAGAATTATAAGAGATGCCATATCATAGCTAAGTTGGGTTTAGAATGTATATTTAATGTATGGACTTGCTATAAGGTTTTACACTCTCAAACTTTCAGACTTCTGTTGATACATATAAGGTTTTGTTTGCAGGTTTATTTGTTTCAGGTATATTTAATGTATGGACTTGCTATGGCTACAACTGCAACCCTCGGTATCTCATCTGTCCCAATACAGAGACAACATTTGATGGTATCCCCTGCCTTTATATTTGATGGCAAATCTGTTTTTTGTAGGTGTGGATATAATTTGCTCCTAAATCTGTTTTTGATGCAATTGTTTTTGGAAGCAGGTGGTTCCTCTACTCTTTTTTATATCACAAGCCTTTAAAACCAATGATTTATTGGCATTTCTTTATCTAAATCTGAAAAAAATTATCTGTATTGCAGGTCTTTAACAAGAGCATCATTTTATAGGGATATAAGAATAGCAACTTTCAGCAGGTCTTTGAGAACCATTCAATTGTATTTAGACTTTAAGTGTTCTTTATGTAGGGAGATATACATGAGATTTTCCTTCTAGCCTGTACGTAGATGTGTATATGTGTTTTGATATTCTAATTAAACACCGTCTGCAAATATTTTTTTGTATTCAGTTTGGTAAATGTGTTTGAATATTCTAAATTTAGACCTCTTTGGGAAACCACTGATGGTTATTTAAAATAACCAACATAGTGCATGTATATTTTTTTCTAAAAAAGCTACTTCTAACGTCAGTTTTTTTGAGAGAACTGACGTAAAATGTATTTTTTTTTATTTTTTTCAATTATATTCAACGTCGGTTTTGTTAAATAACCGACGTAACATGTATTTATTTTATTTTTTCGAAAATATATGTAACGTCGGTTTTTTGTAAAACCGACGTGGAAGATAACTTTTTACGTCGGTTTAATGACCGACGTTATAGGGTCTAACCTATAACGTCTCTCACATACATGTCGGTTCCAGAACCGATGTTAAAAGTATAAAATAACCGACGTTATATGTTCCTTCTCTAGTCGTGCAAATTGGGGATTTAATTATGGAACTAGCACATGTATGAAATTCATTAATGTCATCAAATCGTTTTTTTCTATTTTCATCAACAGAATTCTTCAAGTATTTAAAGTTAAGTCTTCCGCAGAAGCGTATACCGTACAACTGGTTGTACGGGTAACGGGTTGGACCATCATGATATCTGTTTCATGTCCTAATTCACTCTTTTTATTATTTTTTTCTTTTGTAAAAAGTCCTAAACTATGTCTATAATCGATTCCAATTAATTCAATATATGTAAATCTAATGTAGTATAATATACTTTTGAAATATGCATTGATATAACATTTTAAAATGAGCACAATGTTAGTACCAAATTAGCATACATATAATATGTATAATTTACAAAATGAGTATCGAGAATTTAAAAGCTCGTGTGTATGTTCATTCATTTTAGGCGTTATACTCATTTGAGTTTATAGAAATTGCTCTAAATATGAGCAAAAACATTTTGAAATTCCAAAATAGGAGTATCATGCTTTTTATTCACTGAATAAGAGTAATCTAACAAGTTTGAAAAAAAATGCCATGTTTAAAGCCTAGTAATGCCAAACTTAGCAGAAATTTACTCCTATTCAAGGAATAAAAAACATGATATTCCTATTTTGGAATTTCAAAACTTTTTTACTCCTATTTAGGGAATTCTCTCTCGACTTTAACATAAAACTCATTTCTAATGTACTCAATATTTATTTGTGTATGTTCGTTCCTTCTAGGCATTATACTCATTTGAATTAAACATTAAACTCATATCTATAATATGGCGGATATATGTAGCAGGAAGTAGCATGTGAGAAATAAGCAGGGGGCAAATGGACTACGAAAAATCAGAATCATAGCTTCACTACAAAGGACAGAAACACTAAGAAGGACATAAACGTGAGGCAGGCGGCCAAGCGTCACTGTCGTCACTGCATCCGTCAATCGGTATCTGTGGTGGCTTGGGCCGCTTCGCGAGTAGGAGACTTGGGCATTTGGCTGCTTGGCAGTCGGCATCCCACGTACGTCCGACTTCCGACCTGTCATCCTTCGTAGTCTTCATCGATGTCTTTTGTCGTCTTCGTCGATGAGTTGCACCGTAGCTTTAATTACAAAAAAGCCCGATTGTACGGTGAACACCATACCACCGGGTGTACAGATTAATTTGTGGTCGTCCGACACCATCTAGAATAAAGGATTCCAAAAATATTATAAATGCATCGTTATGGCTCGTTTTGTCATCCAGTTTTTTCTTAAGTTACATAGTTTTGTATTAATTTCACGTGTTGCATTGAGTTGCTTTTCTTGCCGAGTTCGCTACATTTATTGATGATGACTATTTTAGGTAATTTTCACATATATATTTTCTTTATTTTATAAATAATTCAAATTTTAAATGTACTTTTTTTCATAAATAAATTCAGCCAATTCATTTGATTCAGTCATAATATCACCTATTTCAATAGAATCAATCAATTCAATCAATTTCAGTACTGCTAAATAGGTTTTTTAGATATTATCATAAAATACAAATTTCACTTCTGAAAGTTATGTAGTTTTGTCAATAAAAAATAGGGCATTTCTATGGAACATCTATGAAGGTGTAGATCACTTCCAATCAAAAAATGACAAGTGAAATTGGAGAGCTAACAATGTCTAATGTGTCTATTTCTCATTGGTTAAATGTATGGGTACACCCTAAATTTCAAATGCACCATAGCAAAGCCCTAAAAAATATTGTAATCCATAATGAGCATAAAATAGATTTTTTTAATTAAATTAAATTGGATGATTAACTACGTAATACGGAGTATATATATAAAGTAAAATACACGTAAAAACATGGAATAATATGAGGCACTCCCGTAAAATATACTTCCTCCGTCCCATTTTACTTAGCCAATCTTGACTTTTCAAGTCAATGGAGTCTAACTTTGACCAATTATATGTTTATATACAGAAAGTATTAATAAAATGAAAATGATATGAAAATTTTCTTTGTTAAAAATACTATCATAAAAGTATAAAATTATTAAAAATACTATCATCTTTGATCAGAAAAATCAAAGATGACTAAGTAAACTTGAAGGGAGTAGCTGATTTTTCACCGTTGATATACTACCTCCCTTCCTATTAAAACTTCCAAATAAGTTTGGCACAGAGTTTAAGATAGTGAGTAATGTGTGGTGGAGAGTTGTGCAGAGGAGAGAGAAATGTGTAAGAAATGTTGTGAACCACAAATTCTTTACTAAAAAGGGAAAGTGGAAATTTTAATTGGAACGGACGAAAAAGGAAAGTTGGAAGTTTATTTAGGAACGGAGGGAGTATATACATAGAGAGAGAGAGGGGTTGACGGGAAGTACTACGTATTTGATTTCTTTCTCTAATTCAAGGAAACATGATCGAGGACACTATGCATGTAATTTAGTAGTAGACCTTATCCAAAAGCCGCCCATTCCGGCCGGCCGTAGCAGTAAGTAATTACCCACGTACGTCAATGCCCGTTACCCTCTTTATCGCGGCCCGGAGGAGTTGGCATCTTCCATTGCAGAGATGGACGCAAAAGATAATCATACTCGACCGGCGCTGAGTTTGACGTCGTAGGGTTGACCGCCGCATTCTTTTTCCACAAGTTTGGTGACAATAATAAACGACGTTTATTATTTGCCATCGTAGCACCAAAGCTTACGCCGCCGTGATGACCCGGCGACTTAGCGGCGGCGTCTGGAACCGGGGGCGGTGGGGTGGTCAACGGCTTCCTTTGCCCAGAGCTTTGATAGTCGCCACGAGGAACTAATAGTGTGCATGCTTCGTGAGGTTTGAGGAACATGGTCATCACAACTAGTACAAGAAGAGCATCATTTTGAGTACTCATTATTCTCATGCACTTTCTCAATGTTTGGCTTAGGAATTATAGACTAAAGAAGGATTGTAAGGATGCCAGGCCAGGGGCTAATTTATATGCTTCAAGGTAGTGGCAATGGATGGCCGGTGACCGGTTTTGATATTTACTTTTGATGGGTGGATGAAATGGAGTAAGAAGACCCGCCCGCGTGTTCAGTGTGAACTAAACTTTGACTGAGCTGAGGCCATGCACTTTTGAAAGGGCTCGCCGGCCAGTCGGCTCGTTAAGGAATTATGAAAGTATATATATATATATATATATATATATATATATATATATATATATATATATATATATATATATATATATATATATATATATATATATATATATATATATATATATATATATATATATATATATATATATATATATATATGCTTCACACTAAACCCTAACGCGATATGGCCGGTGGGCTTAAGCTTAATTTGCACGACGATGAAACTAGGGAAAACACAACAACCCACCTAGCTAGCTAGCTTGTTTACTTTGTTCCGGTTTCATATTTATCGACCTGTTTTCCGTTATGATGGGTTTGAACCGGAAGAATGATTACCAAATAAAAGTCATAGTATATTCGGAAAATTATATACTCAGAATGTTTTCTTTTTTACTGAAATTTGATGGTCTGGTCTGGTAAACGTGTGATCTCTGTGCATTTTATAACTATGCAAGTCTGATCTGATCTAATCTGATCGATCTAGGACCAAAAACAGTCTAAAAGAATACATCCTTATATAACTATGCAAGTCATATATATATGTAGGATATAATATGTGGTTTCTCACAAATCACACATTTTTAGAGTTAGGACCTCCACGTACTATAAATCCATTATAAAAAAATCGCTATTGTGAAGCCACATAGCCTATATGATTTCATAGCAGAGTCATTAAGGGTTTCATAAAATTTTTTAACGTAATTTATTCGGGGTTTAGTTGTGTTCAATTCTGTTATTCGATTTGGATTTAATATTATTTTTGAATATATTAGGTTTTCCTGAGATTTTTTATTCATTTCAATTTCATATGGTCATAATGGGTTCATTTCGGTTTATATATATGGTTTAAGTTCGGATTATGTGTGGACGCATACTTTCATCTTTCTAGTCTTGTCTCAATTAAAGATTTGTGTATTAAAATTGTTCGTATGAATTGAGTGTTATTTGCGTAAATGATAATTTATTTTGTGTGTTGAATAAGTAGTTTGAATTCCACAATGAGTTAAAGATGTTTTATTTTTGACTTTTATTTGCTGGTCTGATCTAATATGGTTTGTTTAAATCTAGTCTGGTCTGATCTGGATTTGTAAATGTTTGATCTCTATGTATTTTATAAATATCCAAGTCTGGTCAGGTCTAGTTTGGTTTAGTCTGTTTAAATCTGGTTTGATTTGTTCTGTTCTGTTCTAGAACTAAAAAAGTTTAAAAGAAAACATTCTAAAAAAGATTCGGTTTAATCGGTGGAGTCCTAATAGAAGTCTTGAATTCGAATAATAAATGGACAGGTGGGTCAAGAGTGATATCGGTGAGATGCATATGAGATGGTGTAGTAGAAATAGAATTGGATGGAGCAGACGAGAGAGTTTTAAAAGGATGTGTCCTCATGAAACCTAACATGACGGCTAACATAGACTCGACCTGTGAGAGAATCCAAACAACGATAGCCTTTATAACCAGATGCATAGCCAAGGAAAACACACTGAACTGAACGAGGTGATAATTTGTTGGCTGAGGTGGCATTAAAATTTGGATAACAAGCAGAACCAAATACTCTCATAAAGGAGTAATCTGGAACACGGTTAAAAAGTTTTTGGTATGGAGTAAGACCATTTAAGGTAGGAGAGGGTAATCTATTTATAATATATGCAGCAGTGAATATGGCATCGACCCAATAGTGACTCGGAACCGAAGCTTCAAGAAGCATGGTCCTAGTTAACTCAAGTAAATGACGATGCTTGCGCTCAGCAATCCCATTCTGTTGAAGGGTGTCAGGACAAGATTTTCTAAAATAAATGCCATTAGCAGAAAAAAATTGCTGCATATTATTATTAACAAATTCACCTCCCCCATCACTTTGAAAAATTTTAATTTTCTGATTAAAAAGATTTTCAACCAAAGCTTTAAATTTTTTAAAATGCATGAAAACTTCATTTTTGTGACACATGGGATATATCCAGGTATAACGAGAAAAATCATCAATGAAACATACATAATACTTAAATCCCAAATTTGAATACACAGCTGACTGCCACACATCAGAATGAATAATTTCCAAAGGAAAAACAGAATTATGACTAGCATCCATAAAAGGCAAACGTTGTGATTTTCCTAAACGACAAGCCACACACTCATGAGTAAAGGGAGTATGACTACATAAAAATTGTTTTCTCTTAAGAAACTTGATGGATAGTCTACCCGGGGGTATATATCCGAAGGGTTATTGCTGGGAATAACTTAGAGAGAAGTCAGAGCAAGTAAATGTGGAGAGAGAGAGTGTATTATAAATGTGGAGCGTTTTCAGCGTGGTTACAAATGGGGAAATGGGGTGCTATTTATAGTAGCAATAAATGCCGGGCAGGGACACGTGTCAAGCGCCTATTGGCCGAGGGGTCACCTCAACTGGTTGGCGTTGGCAGCCGCATGTGGCCGCATTTAATGCGGCTGTTGGATGGGACGTCTGTACAGGGTACGGTGATCTGTACGCATGTGAGGCGGATATCATGTCGGGAGAGGTGCCCTCGGCTACAGAGGACTAGCCGAGGGCTTTTAGTGCCGAGGACCCCTGAGTGCCGAGGGCTCCAGGTGCCGAGGGCTACTGTTTTCGCCGTTTTCTCCCAGTTCCTCTGTTTGTTCGATATATCCATGCTGTGATAGTTTGGAGCCTTCGGCCAGGGGGCCGAAGGCACCCCTGGTGCGTATTGCGGGATGCTTGGTACTCTGGGCGCCGTGATTTGGGACTGTTGGGCCTTCTGGGCCTGTTGGGCCTCTACTGGAGTAGTAGGAGTCTGTGGGCTGGGTGTTCCCGGGCCATATACTCCATCAGGAGTCCCTCACTCCTTTTGCCGAAAGGTATTTGAGGGAAAAGGAGTAATTTGTGCTTGCCCTTTGATGTTGTCCTGTCGTGATCTCTGAAGTTGGTGAGGAGTTGTTGCTTTTATGTCCCTGCCGAAGGCAGCCCCTCAGTTACCCACATGTCGGGACTTGAGGGCTTGCTTTGTCGTTTAAGCATTTTGTGATTTAATGATTTTCCCAAGGGGGTTCTCCAGTCCCCCACTCCTTGAGGCACTTGTAAAGTGGTGAAAAGGAGTAGAGTAGTAGCGTTGTTGTTGTGGGCCGAAGGCTGACGCTTTTCGTTTCATTTTGGGGGGATGCCTCGTTAAAAACCTCATTAGGAAAAACCCTGGGGGAAAAAATCCTAATGAGGGAAAAAGAGTGCACCGAATTCTCCCAACGATGAATCGAAAATGTGAAACCTTGGTAAAAAATGGAGAATAACGGTAATGCCAAAGGCTCTTCTTTTTCTGAGGGCTCATGTGTTGGTTAGCCGGAGGCTTGCTGTTGATGTCCTGGGGGTGCCGAAGGGGAGCCCCTCAATCTGGGGATCGAGGGCCTGATGGATGAGGGCAGCAGTGGAGTTGTTATCGGGGGGCCCACTGTTTGTTGATTAGTTGGTGGTGAAGATACCCAAGGGCTCCCATCACCTGTGTGTCGTAGGCTATTCGTCAATGAGGCAACCCCCCGGGGGCTACCCGGTTTTACAGTGCTGAGGGGGAATCCCCGAGGGGTGCCCTGATACGAAGCCTTGGGTTTCTGAAGGAGTGATCCCGAAGGCGTTTGTTATGTGCTGTGTGGGGCACAACCCGGGGGCGTCTCTGGGTAAGTGTACCCGGAGGCTTTCCTTGCTGAAGTGGAGTGAAGTAGAAAACCCGGGGGCTTCCAGAATATAGCCGTTGGAAATATAGCCGTTGGAATATGTAACGTCAGGTTTATAGCCATTGGGGGGGGTACACGTGGAGTGTAGCCGTTGGCTGCTCGTGGGCGGGCGTCACCGGTTGGGTGAAACGACGGTGTGTAATGATGACGCTTGGCCGGAGGCCCAGTTTTCGGGCCCAAGCCCGGATCTTGGAGTTTATAAATACCCCATGGCCAGACCCATTTCTTCTTGTGCGATCATCTGTCTTAGCGAAGCTCTGCCGGAATTTTTCTAGAGAGAGAAAATCACCCTCGATCACAGCAACTTTCAGAGGTCAGTTCTCCTTCCGCCCTCAGCTCCATTTGAGTATTTAGCTGTGCCTTGTGCCCTTAGGTTAGGAGATAGAATTCTCTAGAAAACCTTAGTTCCCCAGAGCCCTCGTGCTATAGTTAGGATGTCGTCCCAGAGTGATTCTCAAGACATCTCGGGGGCGCCCTCGATGGAGGATGAAGTCCTTTCGGATATGGAGTCCTCAAACGAACAGTCCTCGGCCCAGAAGGACGTTGTGATGGCAGTAGAGGTGCAAAAGGAGCTGCTGGTTGAGGTGGAAGCCGATGGCTTCGAGCAGGAGGTTGAAGACGAAGAGCTGGCCCTCGCCGTGCAGGTTGCAGAGGAGGAGGAAGCCAAAGAGAGGACGAGGGTGATCGTGGCCGTCCTTCCCCCTCGGGGTGCTGGTGAGGCCAGTACCTCTCGGCCGCTGGACGCAGTTCCCATCCGGGTGGCCCCCGGGAAGAAGAAAGCTAAGGTAGCTGTTCCCAAGAAAAAGGGGAGCGTTGCAGATCAAGGGAAGCCCCTCGATATGCCCGAGGGGTACTCCTACCTCAACACCGCCGCATTGGAGATCAAGTCGAAGGTTGATGTGGCGGACATCTATGTCACCCAACTTCACGTGGGCCCCTCGACCATCGTGGTGACGCCGGGTCCGGATGACGTCCTCTCCCGGGCTCCCGAGGGCTGCATTGCGGTGCACGTTCTCTCAGTATCCATGGGGCTCCGCTTCCCCCTGCACCCCTTCCTCCGGGAGTACCTTCGGTTCGTGAG